ATATATATATATATATATATGTAGGTGTTCAGGCACCGGACCAGAGTTAGGAGCGTCGGATTAGCTCTTGTTTTGTCAAGCCAACCATCGTGCCTCACCTTCAGGTTCCAAGTGCTGCTAAGCTAAGGCTGCTTCGGGGTGTTTTAGATTCCCCCTTTCTGTCTCTGTATTGTATAGATTGTATAGACTCGTATGTTTTAGATTCCCCCTTTCTGTCTCTGTATTGTATAGATTGTATAGACTCGTATTGTACTGTTATGGTAGGGATTTGGTCCCTAACCCGAATGTTTGTATATGTATGTATAGTACTGTTTTGCTCTAAATGTGAATATGTTTTTAAAAAGTCTTTTTGCATACAGACTGCCACACCTCATTGGACATCTTTTAATTACTATTTTGGCTTCTGCCAGTCCCTATACTCTGTATTACTGTCTTACTGTTAAGCAGGCCTTCGGTAATCTCGGATTACTGGGCAGTTACGGTGCTAAACCCATAGGGGCGGGTTTGGGTCGTAACAGTCAACTTGCCCTTCCCTACGTGACTAATACGTGGCAAGTTGGTGAATCACTTAGTCACCATCCTATGCATTAGAATGGTGATAAATCACTATTTTTTATTTATTTATTTATTTATTACTTTTGATTTAATTCGTATTAGGTCTAAGGTTTCAATAATCTAATTAGGCTACATTTTATCATAACATTAATGATTATTATTATTATTATTATTATTATTATTATTATTATTATTATAGTATTAATTAAATTTTTAGGATGTCACATCCAAGCCTAGGGGTATATTTATAAGAGAATATTTTGATAAAATTAAATATTTTTAATAGTAAATTATAAAGAATTTATTAAAAAAGAAAGAAAAAAGAAAGATGCAATATAAATATTTTGAAGTATATTTAAAAATTAAAAGGAAATCAAATGAAGAAAAAAATTCTAATTAACAATAAAAGCGTAACTTTAAAAGAAAAACAAAAGGGAGCACGTGCCCACTGAACCTTATGTTGCTCCGTCCCTGGGCCAAATAAATATTTGGTTCCCAAAGCTTGTGATGTCTTTGCTAACTAGAGAGGTAAAAGGAGGTTCAAACTAGTCAAGCAGAGGGTACCCTGAACACATGGGGTGAGCAGGCTGGCAAGTGGCTTAATGACTAAGAAGTTTTCCCCAGAGTGCCCATGCTAGAGAAAATACATGTCTCGGCCTTAAAAATGATAAGTTCATATATCTTATTGTGTGAATCATCAGGGGTGGTGGTTTAGTGAAGAAGACATTTTTCTTTACAGACGTGACCTAGATTCGAATTTTGGAGGGGGTGAAAAATGGTTGCTTTGCAGTCGACTCTATTCGAAGATCTCACCCTGTATTCTGATTGAAATTTGAGCTCGTCTGTGACGTATAGTTAAACTCCATTGGTGTCCTGGTGGTAGGCTTCTTTCTATAGATTGTGTTAAATCAAGCCGACGACCGATTACCCTAAGAACTAGACCTAGACTCATAGATGCCGTGATGACACCTCAAAATAATTTTTTTTTTGGATAAAAAATAAAATAAAATAAAAAAGATACCTCATTATGTGTGTCACATTACCAAATTAACATGTGAATCTTGAAAATGAGTAAGTAGGGATACGTCATTGATCACTTCATAAGGATTTACGCAAGATTAACATGTGAATTTTAAAAAGAAAAATATTTGGAAACTTTAAATTAAGAGCACTAAGGCCAAGTTTGGGAAGACTAAATAAGTGTACTTTTTGACTTTTTTTGTATTATGTGTAGAAAAAGTAGAGAGAAGATTTTGATTGATGTGACCCAAAAAAGATAAAAAGATGAAATAAGTGCACTTTTTTTTGTTAACCAAACTTGGCCTAAAAGAATTCTAGAGAGTGGATATGGGGAATGGGGAATGGGGAAAATTTATTATAGGGGAATGGGGATGGGGAATTAATATCCACCCCATTGCCCCCCATTGCCATTCCTACTCAAATTAATGAAAATGTTGTTTTAAAAATAAGTGGAGATATGCCATTCATGGTGTCACCTCACAAGATTAACATGTGAATCATAAGCATATGATGTGGCATGTTGTAGTGTGCCATGTTGGAGATACAAACACATACACGAGAAGCTTTTTTACATGATCAGATAATGGCCCCTTCAGAGGCGGACCCAGAAAGTTAGGGCCGGTTTAACATATTTCAAAAAAAAAATTAAAAAGTTAAAAAATTATTATTTTATTTAAGTCTTATTATTTTATTTAAGTTATATTACTTCTCTAACATATTATTTCAAATTCAACTCAAACTCAACTCATATTTCATAAAAAATCAAAAAAGTGTACTTATTTATATCATCCCAAACAACTTCTAAATCAAATTACAAATTTTATATATTTTTTCACAAAATTTTTAATATATATTATTTTATTAGGAAATAATTTCAAAAGTCTGGTATATAGTTTTTATAATTTATTGCTACTATTTGATACTTTTTTTTTTTTGATTTTTTATTTTTTTTAGTCTAAAAGTATTATTTGTAGTACTATATAGGTCTTATTTGGTTTATATTTTGAGATATTATTCCAAAAAAATAATTTTTTGGAGAGATGTTATAAAATTTAAAAAAATTATTTAGTTGTATATTTTGAATAGATGAGTGTGAGAGAAAAAGTGATTGAAAATGAAATATTACAGAAAAAGTGATTGATTAATGTATAATAGAAATAAAAGTGATTTTGAAATTTTTTTAGCCAAACGTGTTTTTGAAATTTTTTCTCTAAAAATATATTTTGAGACACAAACCAAACATAGCCATAGTTAGGAAATACCAAAATTTTATTATTTTCTTATTATAAAAAATTCCTAATTAAGTTTACTTAAACTTTATACTAAGGTCTCGTTTGAGAACGTGCTACTTTAGTAATTTTTGAATTTTTATGAAAATATATACAAAAAAAATAAAAAATAAAATGATATGACAATTTATAATATTTTTTTAATTTTTTGACTCATATATATAATTAATAAATGAGACCTAAGCATATTATAAATATTTAAAATTTTATAGACGCCTAAACACTTTTTTTGCGTTTGTTTTTTAACAGGGTGGCCGGGCCCCAACTAATACCTTGTAGATTGCCATGTCTTAAAGAATATTTTGATTGATAAATTAATGTAGTTAATTAATGTGAAACACATCCTTTAGGCTGGGTTTAAAAATATTCTTTAACAAATGGAGTTAATTATTGTATGCAAACAATGCCTTAATAAAAATATTATCATGGGACGCTAGTGAAAATATTACTACATATCCCACCAAAATCACCTAATAATTTTCCCACATCAAGGCCTCATTTATTTTCAAAAATAGAATAGAAAGAATTGATAATAAGGAGATTAAGTAAAATTGTATTTATTTTTATGATAGTTATTAATGTAGAGATTGTTAAATTAGGCTTGGCTTCTCTCCCATCCTAGATCGAACTGAAGGGTGCTGTCAGGCCCACCACGGGTCTCGTTTCAATAATCTGAACCGTTCAATGTGTAAAACTTATCGAGTATTATATATCTGTAAAAAATCACATTTATCGGATATCGATAGTGATCTCATTGGATCCGTTTTCTGTCAACCGTTTATTTTTTCACCGTCTATTTTTTTATACAAAACTGATTTAATCACGTAACTATTGACATCCGATCAATGTGATTTTATACAAACATATAGTTTTCGACGAGTTCTACACATTAACAATTCGAATTATCGAAACGAGACCCGTGATAGGCCCCCGCAGACCCAACAATCAGATCTGAGACTGAAGAGAAGCCAGTACCTGTTAAATTATTACCCTATAAAAGAAATATAGAATATTTAAACACATAAAAGTATGATTTTTACTTAATAAAAAATACAAAAATATTAAATATTAATGTTAAAAAATGCCCAACATGTAAAATTAAAAAAAAAAAAAAAACTAAGTCAGAGAACTAAGGCCCCGTTTGTTTTGAGCTATAGGGAGGGTATTGGGACTAGTAATACCAAGGTATTACTAAAGCTTCTGTTTGTTTGCAGAGAAAGCCTTGGGACTATTAGTCCCTTGGTATTGCTAATACCCTTGGAAGGGGGATTGGTAAGGAGGAGGTAGAGATGGTATTAGAAAATAGTGAGGGGATTAGAAATTTTTTTATTTTTTTATTTTTTACATATTGAGAATTTTTTTAAAAACATTAATGTTTAATTTTTTATATTTTTTATTTGTTTTTTTATTTTATATAAAAATAATTTAACAATTCCTACACTAACAACTATCATCAAAACAAACACAATTTTACTCAATCCCCTCATTAATAATCTCCTCTATTCTACCTCTGAAAACAAACGGAGCCCAAAGCCCATTCTAATCCCATGGGATTATGAATCTCTTCTTCATCTCCTAAAACAAACACAACATATAGGATTCGTTTGAAATGTGAGCTGATTTTTTAACTTTTTAAATTTTTGACTATTTTAATTTGGGACTAAAAACTTTTATTTGACATAAATTTTTGGCCTTCTTAAACTTATGGTGAGAGAAAAAATGAAAGAATTATGTTTTTTATGTAACATTATTAGGCTAAAAATTTATTTATTTATTTGATTATTTCAATCAAAAAAAATTCCATTTTAACTGAGTCCCATTCCCATCTCAATCTTAGGTCTCGTTTGACAGCAGACTAATTTAGTAATTTTTTGATTATTTAATTAAAATATGAGTTAAAAAAATTAATATATTTGAGATAATTTTTTACGAAAATATGTACAAAAAATAAAGAGAAATTTTTTTTTTAATTTTTTGATATGAATTATTAATTTTTTGACTTTTTTAATAATTTTTTGACTTTTTAACTAAATGAACTGATTCCAACAAAACAAATGGGCCAACACACGGGCAAAGAGAAGTGTTTTTGGTTGGGCGACTCTCAAACCACTAGAATGTATAAGTAAATCAAGTATCTTCATACGATAATGATATGTTAATTGCATCATAACCAATGAATCAAGCTAATTTACAAAACTTCATCATACATTAATCAACTAAATATTCTAAACTAGTAATCCAAACACCAAACAACCCTCCTAAACTCAGTCAAGTTTTTACATAAAAATTTAAAAATTAAATGAAATTAAAATAACAAATAAAAGGTTAATTAACATTGTGCTTAATATGGGTGTAATGGAGTTAATTATTGTATGCCCACCGCGCACGTTAGTAAAGAACCCAACGAGCTCAGGCCGGTACGGTAGGTAAGACCGTCGTCGATCTTCTTCCCTCACCGCTCTGTTCCTCACATAATGCAACTCATGAGGCGACAACGACGCCGTTTTGTTCTTCTTCCCCTTCACTTTTGCTCCGGCGCCGTTGGCCTTGGCATCTCCGGCGGCAGATTTCTTCTCCGGCGAGGTAGCCGAACCATTCAGAAACACGAACGTGTCTCTCCCATCGCTATTGCTCCGATTGAGCAAGTCTCTGAATCTCCATAGCTTCGAAAATCCAGTGGAGTTGCACTTCTTACAGATCTCCGGCGAAGCCTCCACGGCTTTGCCGGACCACTCGCAGTACGACGACTCCAGATCTCCTTTAGCCGGCGCCTGCGGAGGAGGAGGTTCGATAAAGACATTCTTCACCGGAGGCCGACAAGGCAAATCCACCGAATCGCCGGCCAAGAGAATGCTTCGGTCGAACCACGGGTAAATCGGCTTGATCTGGCCGTTCTGGAACACATCGTCGGCCGAAATCGGCGATTCATCGGGAGCTATACAAGCAAAAGAGAAATCCTCGTCATCCTCGCCCCGAAATTCATCATCAGACGGTGGTGATTTCACCGTTTCGTCGCAATCAGAGCCGTTGATTTTCAACTTCCAGCTAAATTCGTCTTCAAAATCGGAGCTCGAACTCATTCTCTCTCTCTCTCTCTCTCTCTCTATGTCTGAAATTGAGGGTTGGGGTTTGTTTAAATGGTGTGGATGAGTTTGATTTGGTGGGTTTTAAATACGAGTGGTTGGTTCGCTAGCTGTTAGAGAAGAGACAGAGTACGAAGGTCGGTTGGTGTTACCTTTGAATGAGACTAATTATTTTTTTTAATTTATTTTGTAGTAAATTGTATTTTTTTTTGGAACAATTTGTAGTAAATTGTTTGGGAAGGAAGAAAGTGAAGGAAACAATAAGGAACTTGGTGGGAAAGACACGGGAAACAAAGAACGGGGCCCAAATCTTCTTTTTGACCTTTCGCATTACCATGTGTTACAATTAGAATTCATGTTTATCTTTCCTTTTTCTTTTTTAAGATAAATCTTAAATATATTTTTTAAAATTTATTTAAAATATGAATTATTCTTATAATTTAAAAAATATAAATACACTTTGTTATAATTTTTTATTTAATAAAATTAATAATAAAAAAATTAACTACTCTCTCATATAATATTAAAATTAAATGAATTGTTAATTGAATATATTTTTGCTATTATTAAAATTTATTAATTAATTTGATAATTTATTAATAGTAAAACCAATTTTTTTTATTCTGGGATTAGAAACTTGGCCTTGTTTGGTTTGTGTTTCTCAAAAAAATTTGAGAAAAATTCTCTACAAATAAGTTTTCAAAAGTAATCAAATCAAACAAATTTTCTTAAATTTTTTTTTCAAAACTTGTTTGGTTTACAAGTTTTTCAAACAAATCTCTCTCTCATACACATCAAATCAATTACTTTTTCCAAAACTCTCTCTCAAAATAATTTTTCAAAATATCTTTTGAAAAAAAATCAAACCAAACAAATTTTCATACTTTTTATCTCAAAACATCTTTCTCAAATACAAACCAAACAAGCCCTAATTTCTGAAATTATAGAATGCAACTCATTTTTTAAATAAATTTTAAGAGTTTATTTATGATTTATTAATTTTTTTTCTTAATATTTTTAAAAAAACTTTTTGACCATTGGCTTTAACGACGTTGTTGGCTGTTTTGATAAGATGGTAAAAAGTGACTTTTTGGCTTTTAACCAAGCTTTTGGCTTTTTTAAACAAATGATTTGGGAAGTTGGTAAAAAGTGACTTTTGACTTTTTTGATTAATGTTTGTTTATGATGTCAAATCATAATAAAATGACCAAACTACCCCTACTTATTTAAAATATTTACAACTTCACCTATGTAACACATTTTGACCCATGAGGGGTAAAATTGTAATTTTACCGTTGGCTAAAAACCAACTTCCTAAATGAAAAAAAAGACAAAAAAATTAACTTTTAACTTTTGCTACTAACCAAAAAAAGTGACTAAAAACTATGTTACCAAAAGAGCCCTGTGTGTAAACATATTCAGCAGCCTAAAGTGAACGTCTCTAGACAGCTGGCTATGGACAATTACAGGGAAAAGTACAAATAAGTCAGAAGAGGTGAAGAAAATGATTATTTAAAAAATATATATATACTAGTAATAAAATTAGGATGAGATTTTTATGTTTGATTTCATTTTTAGTATTTATTTTTTAGAAAATTAAATTTTTTTATTTTTACATATTTTTTGTTTTAATTGAATTTTTTTAATATTTTAAGTAATTTTTAAATTTTTAAATATACCTAATATAAATGTACTTAAAAATATAATATTTGTGAAATTTTTTTTTATAAAACAATCATTAAATATCAAAAATATAAAAAAATATAGGTAGCGTTATTTTTCTAAATATGATTTAATGATAGAGTTGTATTTTAAGTTTGTGAGTTTTAAAATTATGATTTGAGTGTAAAAAATTTGTTTTGTGAATGAGTTTGAAAAGAGTTTTGAATTGAGTATAAATTTTTGATGTGACATATGATATTTGATACAAAAACTTACAACTCGTAACCAAATACACAACTCAAAATTCTATTTAAAGCCCATAAATTTTTTTAAAAAATTCTGAATTTTTTTATTTAAAATATAAAAAATAACAGGTGTCAATTGTAAAAAAAAATAAATAAAAAATAGCACTGTTTCGGTCAACTGACCGAACGTCCGAAAGGACAACCGGTTAGCTTAAATTTTCCCACCCTGGAAAGAGTTTTCAAAAGTGAGTGTGGAATTAATTTTTGAAAACTCTAAACAAATAAGACACTCAAAACAAGGGTTGAAATATGTTTTGAGAGCTTCTCCAAACACTGTCATAAAAATTCAATACATTTTCGTATTCTTATATATTTATCGATTTTTTACAAATATTTTAATTTTTAGATACATCTAAGTAAGATAGATGCATCTAAAAAAAATCTTTAAAATTTTAAAAATATTCATGAAAAAAAATACTAATTTTTTTATAAAAAAAAAACTCAATGTCTAGAAATTTGAATCTAAAAAATTGAAATAAAACACAATAACGTTTTGTTTGATTAGAAATAAATAAATTATGAAAAGTGAAAATGATATAAAGTGAAGTAAAACATAAATAAAATAAAATAATATATATATATTTTTATAAATTTGATTAGGATAAAAATTTTATAAGAAAATCGGAATTCTAATCATAACTAACTATTTTTATAACATATTTTAATTTTCTTATATATTTTTTTTTGTAAGAAATTATAAGCTTGGTTACCATGCCATTTTGAATTGTATAAAAAAAATTATTATTATTATTATTTTTTATAACTTTTACTATTTTCATGCTAAACAAACTCAAAAAAAATATATTAATTTTTTCTATTTATTTCATTTTCTATAATTTTCATCCTAACCAAACTAAAAAAAAATATATTAATTTTTTCTATTTATTTCATTTTCTATAATTTTCATCCTAATCAAACTAAGCCTTAAAATTTTTTAGCTTCCCCACCTTTTTGTGCTTTTTAAGAGAGATGGTGATGTTTCTAATCTTCTTCTCTCCTTTGTTTTCTCAACCGCCACTTTATTTTTATTTTTTTTCATCACAATACTAACTACTATTGCTTTTTCATCTTTATTAGAGTGTTTTGAGAAGTTTGTAAAAAGTTAATTTTTAACTTCTGACCAAATTTTTTAATTTTTTGGAAAATAATTTAGGAAGTTGGTAAAAAACAAACTTTTGACTTTTTAGTTTAATATTTGTTTATGGTGTCAAATCAAATTAAAATAACCAAAATATCCTTACTCAACATAAGAAATTTATTTTTTTATTTTTTTGTTATAGGTTCCAATTTGTAATTTCACACTTGCGTTTTTATAACTTCTCAAATCAATTTTGTTGCATTTTTGTCACTTGCATTTTTGGACGTTTTGACAAAAACATTACTTTTTATTTTGGTTCCCAAGACGACACATTGTTGGCATGCCACTTGAGGAAACTTTCAGATCTATAATAGATCTAATTCTGAGCCTTAATTCTGACCATCTCAGGCTCAGAATATTTTATTTTGTAACATAAAAGCATGAATTACGGTATCACAATTACTAGTTGAAATGATAAACAGATCGTGAAGTTAATAGTAATATTTGTTTGGTTGTAGTTGTTTTGATTTTTTATTTTGATTTATTTTTGTGTTGTAATAATGTGGACTTATTAAATTGCATTGATTATCTTATCTTTCTTGTTAGATTTTTATGATTGACAATTTCGTTTGACAAAACTCCTTTTAATTATAATTTTATTTGTTTTTTTTGTTATAGTGAAGATATGAGTGTTTATATGTAAATCCAACTTGAAGTGTGCCTATGTAGAGGAGTTTGTGATCTTAAGCCTTTCTTGTTTGCCACTTCACTGACTATGTACAAGGATCAAATTTGACCGCTCGAGTGGTCATTTGTTCGCTCGAGCGGTGAATAGAAGTATCATGTATCTCTACCTACAAGCTGAACTTCTAGAAAGGATATTTCATTGCTCGAGCGGTGAAATGTACGCTCGAGCGAATCGGCTTATATGTTTTGCACCGTTTTACTCACACTACTCGACCGGTCTTCAAGATCTTATTTATTATAAAATGCGTTGTTTGCTGTTTTTAGGGTTTAAACCGTTCAAATTCTATGAGAGCACAGCTACCAATGTTTTCTATATTGCAAGATATTTTTATAAGTATTTTCTTAATAATTTGAGAGTGGTCGGTGAATCTATGAGTTTCATATTGACATCATCAAGGGGTTTGTTTTTATTCTTTTATTCACAAAGAGAGAGGTGTTCTTTAGTAGATTTCGGGGAACTTAAGTCTGAAACTTTGGTGGATTCTGGAGTGGCTCATCGTCGTAAATTTGACATCAGCATTGTGAATTCAACGTTGGGCAAGACAATTTCATAGCGAAGATGGTGGTGGAAGAGGCATATTAGGGTCAATTTAATTTGAGTGTGAATTCGCTAGGAAATTGAGGGTATACATATGTAGTTCTTTTTTGTCTTCTTAGTAGATTATTTTGTGGCTTTGGCCCATAATTTTTTTATCATGATCCGAGGCGCTTCAATTGTGATTTTTTCCGCATTAAATCATTGTGTTGTTTTAATTGTTTGATTAAGGTTGTTATTCACTATTTAAAATTAAAACATAATCACGAATCAATATCTCAGAGATTTTAGATTTTTAAATTCTAATAATAAAATATTCATTTAATTTATATTGTGTCAATTTTAAATTTAAATTAATAGATTGTTTTCCATATTTAGTGACAGTTTAAATTTTAATAAAATAAAATTTAAAATTTTTAATTAATTAATTTCTGTGTAAGCTGGTTGGTCTTTTGACTAACTGATTAAGCTAAATTATTTTTGATTTGAATGATTTGTTGGTTTAACCATGATTTTAACGGTTTTACATGTTACGATAGTTCTTTCTTACTCATTAAGTTTTTAAAATTTCTTTAATTATTTCTCTTTTAAAAATCAATATGACAATTTTTTAAAACTCATACATTTTTATTCTAAAATAGTGAAATATTAGAACTATGTCATTTTTTATAACAAAGCATAATTTTAATTATTAATTGTCAATACAACAAATTTAATCTATTTATACTATATGTTATAATAAAGGAACATTTGAAACAAAACTCTTACACTTATATATAAAATTTTATTTACAAGAGACAAAATACAATATATATATATATATATATATATAATTATCGTATTTTTAATAAATAATATATTATTTTATCCCGTGCATAGCATGTGTGACATGCTAGTATTTGTTTATCCAAATATAATTATATATATTGAAAAATTCTATAGTGTGTATACCATATGCACCTTTAGTTATGATCTTTGAGTTAATGGTTATGACCTGATGTGTCTTTAGTTAGGACATATTGTGATATTAGTTATAACAAAATTTTGATTATGATCTAAGATTTATTTAATTATATTTCATGTAATATTTAATTATAATTTTTTCATTTTTTAATTTTTTTTATAGTTATAACTTTAATAAAATAATGTAATTTATAATAATCAAACTCATAAATTACATAACGTCCATATATCACACACTCTATATTATTTTTCCATATATATTATGCTAACTCGTGTACATTGAACTAATGTCGTGGAATCAACATCAAATTTCCTAAACTCTGAAGATTATAAAAAAAAAATAATAAATAAATTACTAATAGGACTATATATTATATTTAAAGAATTGTAAAGAAAAACAGAGGATTAATTGTTAGACAATCTTCATTGTATTTGAAGAATTGATTAAGGAAAAAAAAAATCAGTTTGATTACTTAAATCAAAACAAAACAAAGAATAATAAAATATGAAAAACAGATTCTTATTTTGTTAAAAAAAAAAAACAAACAAAATCAAATAGAAACCTGAAAAGAAAATTATAAACAAACTACTTATAGTATTACTTCTCTGAAAATTCAACCAAGTCCACTGTTAAATGCTGTCTCCTTAAGACAGATTTATTCTCTCCACGATACTTTCAGAATATGGACTTCTATCTCCCAACACATTTTGTATTCATACTCTTTCTCACAGAAAAATAAATGCAAAAAAATGCAGGAAGCGGAAGCAGAAGGAATAACAAAATTTGATTAAAAAACCAAATGGAGGACTTGTCTATCTATAGGAGAACTGGTGGCTATTTAGGATAGATTTGAATAGGCAAAGAACCTGTTCAAAACAAACTTGAACAAGCAAAGAACCTGTTTGAGTTGGAGGGAAAAAGTTGAAAAGGTGCAATGGACCAAATTGCTAACGTTTTTGGCCCAAAAAGATAAGCATTGGATTACTCAATCCCAACCTCCCACCCGGGCCTAGGCAGGTGGGTGTGGTAATTTTTGAGTCCAATAGGTCAAAGCTCACCTTTTCCATAACCTCCCTCTCCACAAAACTTAAGTACCCCTTGGAGTCTTCCCTGAGATGCAAACTCAAGGCTTATAAACCCATACCAAGTTTGACCATTCAAGTAATATGGGACAAGCCTTTTCTCCATATGAGAATCTCATGAAAACACCATTTCCATGGAACTAATTTTGGCATTGATTTCTCATTTACCCGATAATGATTTTGAGCAACCAAATATACGACATGAATTATTATGCAGCTAAAAATGTGTTGCTACATAGACCTGCCAACTTTAACACATGGGTCCCATTTAAAAATTAGACCAAAATTTTAGAAAAACTATTTTTTCCAAAACCATTTCTTACATTAATTACACTAAGATTCCTATACATGTTGAATCCCTCGCAAATACACCTATTTTGAATGCGATTTCAAAGACGGGTTAGGATTTATTACTATGGAAGAGTGAAAGTATGGGGTGTTTTGGGAAATTGGTAAGAAGCTGACTTTTGACTTTTTACCAAGCTTTTTAGCTTTTTGGAAAGTGATTTGGAAAGTGATTTGGTAAAAAGCTGGCTTTTGAATTTTTGGTTTAATATTTGTTTATGATATCAAATCAAATTAAAATGACCAAAATACCCTTACCTAATATTTACTTTTTACTTTTTCACTTTTTTCTCATAGGCCCAAGTTGTAATTTCAAGTGTTGCGTTTTTTGATTTCCCAAATGAATAAAGGAGTCGTGCTAGGGAGCTCGAATCTGAGCTTCCCGAATCCCCCTAATCCCAGAAACGACGCCGTTTTTGATTTTTTTTTTCCTGGTTTAATCATAAAGGAAGAAGATGAAGAAGGAAGGAGGAGAAGAGAAGGAAGGAGGAGGAGGAGGAAGGAGGAGGACTAGAGGGGGCTCTAATTACAGGGGGAGGAGGAGGCGGAGGCGGGGCCAGAGGCGAGGCAGAGGCAGGGGCTGCCGGAGACGACGATCGGGCTGCGGAGACGACGATCAGGAGCTCCTCCTAAACGATCGGGCTGCGGAGACGATAATCGGGAGCTCCTCCTCTTCCCTCTCTTCTCTCTCTCTCTCTCTCTTCTGAAATTAGGGGGATTCGGGGGGAGAAAATTAGGGGGACAAAACATTACTCATGAATAAAGTAGTGTTTTTGGCCGGAAGCTTTTTTCTCCAATTGATAAAAAACGAGGCGTTTTGCCAAGCTTCCCAAAACGGCACTATGTTTAGGAGTGTAAACTCTTATAATTTTAAATTTTTTAAAATTTTGTAATATTATATATAATATTTTTTAATTTTTTTGAGAATGTCATCAAGGATCTAATGGGATAGGTGCATCCATAGGATAGGACATTACAGTATCCTCTGGGTTAGGTACTTCTACCTCTCCTTCTGCACCTTCTTCCAGGCATTCATTGTTTCCTCTTGCTCTACATCTAGCCATTTTTAATTGTCCCACTGGGCATGCCAAGGATATGTCTTTTGGCTTTTTTGGCTTTCGAAGGTTAATTGTGTAAATTAGAGCATGCCAACAAGGATCAATAAGTCCTTACAGAATTTTAATTGCCAACCAATTATTAGACGATTATGTTGAAGTTCTTTCAGCCTCAATGAAGCGAACTTTTGCTAGTGGCTTATTTAGGAGAAACTTACAAATGATCACAGATACAAAATAGTTCAAAAACTGAATTTCATTAAGTAAATAAGAACTTACAATGAAATGACCCAGCCTTGAAAAGGTTTACAACAGCGACTACTTGAAACTACTCCTAGGAAATAAAGTGCAGTACAAGAATTGAAGAACTGGAAATGTAAAGAATTGGAAATGTAATGATTGGAAAGAAAAGTATGAAGTAAACGACTGGTTTGTAACCGTCGAAGTGGACTTCTAACTGTCGAAATGCCCTTCTACGATCATTGGTTATGGCCCTGAACAACATGCTCCTATGACGCTTTCTTTGCAGTTGAGCTTCCCTCTTGTATGTGAATTTGAATTGTGAGTAACCATTGGGCTATGTCACCTCATGCCTTTTAACTACTTCCATGCGACGTGGTCCCGTCATTACCAATATGAATTGCCACGTGTCTGTCGCTGATTGGAGACTTGCATTAACTCCCCAAATTACCCTTTATAAGCCATGTGTTAAGCTGCGATTGGCCTGTACAAAATATATAGTCAACAAATAGATTTTATCCATTGAAATATGGCTTTAGGGTGAAGATCTGAGCAGAATATGATCTGATCTGATTGCAAAATTAATTACATTACTCATTTATGTAACATATGTGTGATGCATATAGAAAAATGATTCATGTACCCACTTGATTGGACACAAGGCTTAGTTTGATTTGGTTTGATGATGTGTGATGCATAAATTATAGTTATATTTACATAAGTTAAATGGTTCACTACTAAAAAAAATACTTTTTGCGACCGTCATAAACCGTCGCAAATAATAAAAAACAGTCGCAAAAGACTTTTTGCGACGGCCCATGCGACGGCAAATGGGGGTCGCGAATATGGGGGTGGCAAATACTTTTTGCGACGGCAAAACAACAGTCGCAAATTATTTGCGGCCACCTAAACTACTTATGGCGACCCCTATTTTGCCGTCGCAAAAAACAAAGAAAAATACTAACATGATCTTTGGCGACCATCTTGTTACCGTCGCAAAAAATTAAAAATAAAAATAAAAATAAATAAATAAATAAACAAATTGTGAAACATTAAAGCCCTTTTACCTATCCAGCTGTTTATCAAACAAATTAGACAAATCAAACCCACAGCTAACCTCTAAATATTCTTCCTATTTTCTTCAAATATTAAAGCTTGAACAAAATAAAAACAAAAAATGTCACAATTAAACAATTACTTTTAATATGTGAAACTTTTTTTCATCATATTCCAGTTGGGGTAATATCTGTCAAAACACTTCCAGTATACAATACTACTAATAGAACTTATAAAAGGCGTGTCAATTAAGCACAAGCATTTCAAAGCCCAAATGATGAACTAAAGGTTTAAGATCTAACACGAGGCCTTTCAAGGACTGGGAACATCATTGTGAGAAGACATAAAAATGCAATTAAGTAAAGACAACCAAACATGCAGAACTAAGCTTCTTATGGAGCTCATCCAATTCCGATTGATAGCATGAGAAACCACATGTTTTAACAGCATTAAAATCCACAAGCAAAAATAAAGGTGAATAACCAGTAGCAACAATAATTCTTTGTTCTCACATGATAAAAAAATCTTATTCCAATCTCTAACCAGAGTAAGAGGGGAAGGGGAATGGAGGCAGGATAAGACAAATCATTGCTTACTTCTAATATCCATACTACCCTTGTTTTTTACCGGTCATACCTGCAACCACCTGCAAAGATGCAATCCGAATAATCAAATTAGTTAAAATTACCCGTGCACAAAATTCTTCCATCAGGTACATATATATTTGAAGTAGTACATAAAATGCCCGTAACGTAAAAAATCACTTTCGAAATGTTGAAATGCATAAAAAAAAACCTTAGGGGTAAAGTACATGGTTTTTATAGGGGATAGTAATGGACAAACGATTACTATACTTTTGGGAGAAAAATTGTTGCCTCAAAAATAAATAGGAGGATTTATTAGAAAACCCTTTTTCAAATACTTGTATCTCAATTAATTCATAACATATTCTTATATTGCAATAAGGATTTATAAATACAGCAAATTATTTTGTCCCAAACTACACCATTTGATAAGTCATACAGTTAATTAAATTACTAAGAAACATCAGATGGAAGGACTGGAATACTAGCACCATTTGTTCACTACTCTTGAATTTCAAATCCTCAAAACAATTTTGATATCCAAATTAAAAATTCAAAATCCACTATCAAATTCAATGTATTTCTGCTGATGCATGTGGATTTAAACATGTTGCCAAACAGAGTTAATGGCATATCTATAAGCTATTCTGATTATTTCTGTTGTCAGAGGAAAACCTGCGACATTCCTTTGTACTGTGATTGTACAGTATTGATTGAAGGGCAGTGCAGTCCATAAAAGAAAATCAAAGATAGGACATGTTTATATATATAGTTCCAGCACATGATTAGAGAGAAAATCACAGTATATACGCATAATATGTATAGAAAAATCACAGTTTATATATATAGTTCCAGCACATGTTTATATATATAGTTCACAGTTTATATATATAGTTCACAGTTTAGAGAGAAAATCACAGTTTATATATATAGTTCCAGCACATGTTTATATATATAGTTCCGACATTCCTTTGTACTGTGATTGTCCCAGCCCCAGCCCCAGAAACAGAACCAGCCTCATCATGATTAGAGAGAATTCAGTTAAACATTGCACAAGGAATACCAAAAGCACATGTTTATATATATAGTTCCAGCACATGTTTATATATATAGTTCTGCGCTCTTCATTGCAGTAGAGGTGTTTATTGAGTGAACATGGGACCTGTAACTTTGTTTATTCCAGCACATGTTTATATATATAGTTCTGCGCTCTTCATTGCAGTAGAGGTGTTATATCTGGGTAATCTAATTGGTAGTTCAATAAAAACTGATGCTTCTACTTTTTCTATATTGGTTTTATAATGTTCTAGAAATTCATGTGTTTCATTCAATATCAAGTTGGTGGATAGCTAGGTTCTTAATCATTTGAAGCCATATAATTAATAAATGACATAATGTACCTGTTCTTTCGCGTAGGGCATGAAAAATTAAGTATTTGTGCTGCATACATTCTCTTCATACACAGCAAATATCATAAATACATGCATGGGGAAATATAGTGATATCCTTCAAGAACTTCATACACAGCAAATATCATAAATACATGCAGAAATATAGTAGAGTGGCATACCTATTCATTTTCTTTTGAAGCTTGCTGCCCACTAGATGCATCCGACACCTACAATATGTTAGTATAATGTGTTAATAATTTCCAATGTGGCTATCCCTTGCGATGAGTTGGAATAACATCTGTAAAGTTTCTAATGTGACACCCAAGGCATGTGATGCTCTTTTATTTGTAACGAAAATATGGGCAGTATGCACCAAGAGCATGCAATTACAATCAGGCTAGCTTGAGGTGTCTTATTTTGTCCATTTTTCATTTAGATTTTCAAAACATAATAAGGAAGTTGTGCATTCGTGGGATTTTGTTTAGGAGTGTAGGGGCATATGTTAATAAGATTTTAGACGCTTAGGGTATGCGAAGTTTCATACAATGCACAACTCTACTCAACTCCTCTTGGCAATACCTCAATCAAACTACTCATGTTAGACCCAATGACAGTCTACTGTCTACGCTACCATTGTAGATGAATAAAGTTAGTAGATTGTGATGTTTGAATTATTTTGATCCAGAATTGAGAATATAAAGCCAAGAAGAGAACAAAATGAAACAAACAAACAGACTACCATAAACAACATCCAAATCAAGCGAAAAAAAAAGAAAGAAAAAGGCAGTTTGGTGTTGCTTTCTAGTACAATTGTTAATACAACTTCCCAGAATTAGGTCACTCACTCTAAAGATAATCTGCATGGATATTAGCTTTCAAATAATAGCATCCACATTCATTTCTTAAACCTTCTAGCTAATTAACAAAACAATGAACATTAAAAAAATAAAAAATAAAATTTAAAAATTAATCTAAATTGGAAGGATCACTATACTTTTGGGAGAAAAATTGTTGCCTAAAAAATAAATAGGAGGATTTATTAGAAAACCCTTTTTCAAATACTTGTATCTCAATTAATTCATAACATATTCTTATATTGCAATAAGTCCTATCATTTGGATATTTGATTAAACAAATCTTAATTATCATATTTAAGGTATATTATAGACAATTTTATCTTTACAAATTTTTTTTGAATGTTTAGCAACTTGATAATGTAAACATTCATATATATTTTTTTAAAGATTTGATGTGAACATTCATATTTAACAGTGTGAATATTCATATCATGAAACATTCACCATTAATGCGAATATTATTAAGGGTATTTTGGTAATTATATCACCCATAAAACTTATTGAAACATAAAAAAATATTTTAAACTAAGTAGAATATAAGTAGATGAAGAGAGATTTATGAATAATTGTCCCAAATAAAAATTTTTTGACAGCAAATTATTTTGTCCCAAACTACATTTATTAGCGTCTTTGGTAATGTTAGAATAATTTTTTTGTTTGTGTCGCAACAAGATATGATTGGCAGAGTGGTAAACTAGACCCTTCCATGATGAATCGAAAAGCAGAGAACTTATTGCCTCACCTTGTTCAGGTTCTCTCTCTCACTCACCACGTCAACTCAAAGCAATTTGATTCTTTTAATTTTAAAAAGTTTTCAGAATTAAATTTATAATATAAACTTGATTTGGTACGGATTACACATTCCATGTTTTGAAACATTTCTAGATATTTTTCTATGAGTACATAAACTGATACATACAGATGAAATTTGCAAAACTTATTTTACAAACTATAAGGCTAGTATGTTATTTTAGTGGGTTTCATTTCAAAATCAAATTTTGTCATTGAATGTCACCATATGTGGTTAAGATTGTGAGGTATTGAATTATATAATTTCAATATACATAAATCTCAAACACCTGATTTAATAGTTGAAAGTGGATTGAGACAGAAGAATCAAGGGATTTAAGGACACAAAATCATGTGCCCACAAAATTTATCATTCTTCTACATGCACAGAATCCGATTCGATTCAGTGAGAGAATTGTGTTAGGTTGCATGATCAAATTCAGTACATTTAGAATTTTCCCAAGATTTATCAGAAAAGGTCATCTAATTTTTGGGCCTTTGCATCTATTGCCAAGAAATTAAAGAGGGTTTAAGTTGATTAGAGTATAAGCTAGATTTGTCTACATTAATGCAGGTGTCAATAAACTTGGATGCAAATGGTGAATGCCAAGAATGTTCAGTGAAGTCATTGAATGAATGGAAAAAAGCATCAGATTTCCCAGTGATAAATCAAGACTACTCAGGTGCCAAAAACACATACATTTATGCAGCAACGACCTCTGGTTCAAGCCAAGCATTGCCACATTTCCCATTCGACACAGTGCTGAAACTAAACACTTTGAACAAGTCCATCCACACTTGGTCTGTTGGGAGCAGAAGGTTCATTGGGGAGCCCATTTTTGTCCCCAAAGGAACCCAAGAAGAAGAAGACAATGGCTACATTCTTGTGGTAGAGGTGAGCACATTCAATTTTAAAAATCAAATTTTTCATGACATGAAATTATCTGTCCTTAAAATTTCTGTCCCCAATACATTTCAGTCAGTTGCACCAGATTTTCGTATTTGAGCATTTTTACTAGATTGTGTAGTTGAAGTGCATTAGGGAGAAGGAATAGAGATTTTGAGACGAGAAGATCCCATACTTAGCACATATTTAAAATTAGGACAATGTTTGAGAGCTCGAAAAAAGCCCCCCCTAATCCCCCTAATGCCCAAAACGACGTCGTTTTGGGTATTTTTTTTTCTTCTTCTTCTTCTTCACGCAGCTCTGAGACAGAGGGAGAGGGAGGGGAGAGAAAGAGAAAGAGAAAGAGAAAGAGGGAGAGGGAGAGAAGAGCTCGTCGCAGGGAAGAGCTTCTCGCCATCGCAGGGAAGAGCTCGTCGCCCGCCATCGCAGCTCCTCGCCGTCGCAGCCACTGCCTCTGCCTCTACCTCCTTCTCCGCCCCCCGCCTCGGCCTCCACACCCCGATTTATTTGGCCCCCTCCAGTCTTTCGGCTTCCTCCTCCTCCTCCTTCCTTCTCCTCTTCTTCTTCTCCCTCCCCCTCCTTCTTCCTTCTCCTTCTTCTGTTTTCTGCAAATTTGGGGGATTCGGGGGTAGCTCTTTCGAGCTACCAAGCATGACCCTTAAAATTATTAGTCATTGTGTTTAGAATCATCAATAATCTATAAAATTTTATTATAAAACTTGAGTGATGTGAAAAGTTGTTTTCTGAAAGACCAAGGGGTTGGCTTGGTGGTTGAGGCACTTCCTGACGACATGTTAAGCCTAGGTCACGTCTTATCATTGCAAATGTAACTTCCTTTTCCCTATTCTTCGTCCTTCTCTTGACAAAAAAGAGAAAAAAAGAAGAAGTTATTTTCAAGGTGATTTGAACTTTATTTACCAAATGTAGGTATTTACCTTTGTTTATGTTAATGTCTATCCACCACCTATGTTAGTTTTGATCATTTTAATTTATTAAAAAGAAGGTTTATATAATTATATCAAACTTTTAGAGGTAATTGTATTTTTCTCAAATCTCAAGAGAGACGAGTGTAATTTACCATTAAAACAATAGTGTTATTATTAGTACCCCATCAATTATTTTGGACCTTCAATTTTTTAGTCTTTCTTTTATTACAATAACAATTTCAAATGAAATTACTAAAAAAGACATCAATAATTTTGGAACATATTATCTCACAATTAAGTCCACACACTCATTACATCATTAGTTGGGGTTTATGAGAGCATCTAATTCTATCACCACCCATCTATCTTCTCCAAATCCTACTTTCAAAATCTACCCATCCTTGAAACCTTGAAAACCCTTTGGCAGCAATATTCCGGCGGCAACGATAGCAACCATTTAATTACATACACTTCTCCAACAATAACAATGAGTGGAAGTTTTTCCAACAACCAAAACTCCATGAGACAATAGGAGTACAACAATAAAAATTTAGAAGAGGTTTATAACTTTGATGGTTTTCTTAGCTCAGAAGAGATAGGCCTTGTAAGGGAAAGTTTTTTTAAAAAAAGTAAAAAAATAATAATAAAAAAAAATTATTTGTTATTTTTTTGGGACTGAACTCCCGAACGTATGACCAAAATTTGGGAACATAAGCCCGACCATTGTTTATTTGTTCGGAAACAGGTAACCGAACATTTTTTATTTGTTCGGGAACAGATAGCCGAAGTAGCAGAAGAAACAAATAAACAAAAGAGGTCGGACCACCCTTGGGTGGTTGACCAGTGAGTGAAATTCTACCCAGTTTTGCTCACATAGAGAGCATACAAGTTCCGTGACAAAAAACCAATCAGAGAAGTATGAAAGTGGATTATGTTGTGTGTGTGAAAAGAGGTAATAGAAAAAAATCAAACATATTGATAAATCTCGTAATGAAGCAGAGAATAAACTTCTTAATCATTACAAATTTTTTCCACTGGTTTTGGCAGGTTCCATCGTCGTGGGTTTTTTAGGATTTTGAGAGAGAAGCTTTTTGTGGAGCAGGGGGTGTGTATTTGAATGAGTGTGTAAATCAAAGTATAAAAAATGCAGCGGATAAAATATTTAGATCATACCTTTAAATGATAGAACCTCGTAGGTAAATCACGTGCTTCCAGAATCAGATACACTAACCCAGCAGTGAAGTGATATTACAGAATGAATATCACCCACACAAGTCACAGTGCAAATGACTTGATCGTTATTTTTGGAAGAGAGTCAGTATATGGGTAAAAAACAGATCATACGTTGTTTCTCTCTTGATCACCCATAACCCATATATCACATATATAATGTGTTATTATTATCTATCCATATCAGTTAATGGAGATAATATCTGTATCCTGAGTGGTTATCCTAAATAGGTTTGAATTCAATTTCAAAACCTATTTGGATAAGGTTCAAATTCAAATTCAAATGGTCATGCCACATGGGCGCCCATTACTAACATCTCCCACTCGCACATGAGTTGGCATGACACTGCCACATCTCTATCTCAATCTCCCAAAAAAAC